TATATTATTATTATTATTATTATTATTACTATTATAATGCTGATCGCCCCGAGTGTGTGTTGTGTGTACGTATATTTCCTCGAATCGCCGCGGCGGTGGCGGACTGCTGCATTGTCCGCCAACCGGTTGTCCTTGACTTTTGTATTTGTGTGCGCCGGCTAGCGTTTATTGTTTATTCTGTTGGTCTTTATTTTTATTTTATTTTCACGTTATTTATTATTATTTTTTAGGTTAGTGTTATCCGCGGGCCAATTAAAACGCGTGTTAAACGAGCCGATACGGATACCACATATTATTATTATTATTATTATTATTATTATTACCCGTGTATTATTGTAATTACGGTGACTCGGTCGGCTCGGGCAAACGTATCGCCTGTCCGTTATTATTATTATATAATTATAATATTATATTTTATACGAATATCAGTTTATTTCGAACAAATGAAGCGCATCGCTCGCGGAGCTTGTTTTTTTTTTCAAGGCTCGTTTTCTCGCCTTCGCTCGGCCTACGTTTTAATGTCGCGGGACCCCGACCCGCGTATGCTAATTTCAACCTTTTGGGCGCGCGCCGTTTTCAATGTGTGTTCGTGCAGTGCTCCGATATCGTTATTCCGAGTCCACAGTCTGTCGATAACAATATTTTTTTTGTAATTAATGTATGTGTTGCAGTGTCGGGTGAGATTCGCTCCCGATCTAGGACGACGAAATCCGAAAGGTAGGACGATGTAAAGACCTCGTAATGAGATTCTGGTATAAAAATGTCTATTGCTAACCACCGAATACGCGACTGACCCCTCCCCAACTCCTTATCCCTGCATACACACTTCCACCTATTAATATGCCGTCGCGTCGTCGGTATAGAGTCGACTCGGTGGTACGATTTGTAGTTATTTATACATTTATATTGATAATGTTAAATATAGGATATTTGTATATTGAAGATTCTGCGAGTGGTACAAAATTGTTAGTATCCAACCGGTTGGCCTATAATAGGACTTGGTAAGGACGTTTATAAGTATTAAATATATTATACATATTTATCACTATCAATCATAAGCATTGGAACATTAAGGGTCATCAATACGACAATATGTTGTAAAAGCTATAAATGTACCTCTGATTTATTACTGGTGTTTGTAAGTATGTTTGTGTGTGCGATGTGTTAACCTTCTTATAATTTATTCTCTTATACTTTACTTTACTTTCGCAATTTACATAATTATATTAAGTGCCTAATATAATTTCAAGTTCCATAATTTTATGTTGCGATGTTTTCTTAATAAATTACAACCGAGTGTGTGAACGATTGATATCAAGACTTTAAAGTACTTGGATTAACAAAATTATATTGGGAAACTTCGGTTATTTAAAAAAAAAACTGTTCGTGGTGTATTTTCTTTGAAAAAATTTCTGTTATGAAAACGGCAAAAACAGTATTAGATATCAGTTATATTATGATATAGGTTCTACCCACGTATCTAGCTGAGATAATCTTTGTTTAATCAGTAGTTTTTTATTCGTATTTCAGCTTTAAAATAGGAACGTATAAACGCTTTGGAATGCAATTGTGCAGCTGTGTAATCAAAATTTTCTGAGCGCCATTCGCGCCGTTTTGCGATTTATTTTATAACCGTGTATGCAATAGTTTCGCGAAGTCAATATTTTTTTCATAAACGTATTTATACACACTAAACAATAACAAAACACGCCCTTCTCCTTTACCACTTCTTCATATTTACAATTTTTTCGCATTGAACGTCCAACCCTTGGTCCACCTTTAATGCGCGGTTGCTTTATTTACATTTTTTTTGACAGTAAACACCGGTGTATGTCCTCGGCGTTTGAGTAAAGACGATGGCACGAATATCTCTGTTTTGAATCGTATTTTGTATTTAATCAAGAACGTCATTCTACGTACTGCTCACTATAGACACCACCTACCCCAATAAACAGTCGAAAACAGTGATCGCAAGTCCGCCGCCACACACGCAATCTGTATTCTGACCTACGACATATATATTGTTATTATTTTTGTTTTCGCGTGTGAGCACACTCAGCCGTCCATGTGACTCACACAGCGTATCGTTGCGTGAGTGTATAATATATTAGTTTTGTCGACCCCTATCGCGTGGAAAAAAAAATACCAAAAGGGATCGAAATGCAATGTTGCCGATTGCCGTTCCGCCGCGGTCCTGCTGTCTAAGGAAACGAGAGACGGAGAGTGGCGAGTGGTAAGATAGGCGACCGCAACTTAAAATTTGTAAACTTTTAAAATTTTTCATCAAAACACGGTTTTCGTACGATTTATGGTTGTGGACGTCGGAGGTATTGCATTTATTTTTTTTCAAACGTGTGAGGGCCGTGCCAGCTGTTGTGTGCATATCCGGTTCCTCGTCGGCGGCGGCGGCGGCGGCACACTCAGTTATTATTCCAATGCGCCACAAGAGATTGCCGCCGGTGCACTGCTGCCGTCGTCACACTGGTTGGGTTAGGTTATGTTTTTGTGTTTTACATATATTAGTATTTTGGGGCCATTATTATTATGAACAGCAGCGGGTCCCGTGTTGCGATCGGACGAAATTATAGGGTTCTTTTATTTTTAAACGCACATTTTTTTACCATGTAAAGCCCACACAAGTCTTTTTGGCTGTCGTCGATAAACGACCGCGACGACGACGCCGCCGCTCGGTGGTTGCGGTGGCATCTTTTTTTGTGTAACCATATGCATGTGTGCTGCTACTGTTGACTCTTCTACCCTGCCCGCTGCAGCAACAATAATATACTACAATTATACGCGTTGTACTAAAACGAGAAGACTGCCTCGTCGACGGCTGCAACGTCTTTGTAACCTTCGTTTAATATTTCTCGTGTTCACCCGTCCACAGTCGGTGGTGCAGGGGGCCGCTCTTTATATATTTTCATTTCAAATTTTGACGTCCTCCGGTGAGGTATCTTTGAATTCCCGGGGCAAGCCGATGTGTACGTCATCCTTGAAACGCTCAACAAATTAACAAGACGTGTACATCCATAAAATTAGGACACGTAAAAAAAAACCGTATAATATTACACGTTTCGATTGGGCAATCAGACGTCGCGCGTCTCTCGAGTCAGAAATGTTCCGAAAAGGCTACACCTCCCTTCCGATCGACAAAATCTATAGTAACCAGCTCGATAATCGCGTGTGTGTGCGTACTTGTACGCGCTGTAAAATGTATCTCGGTCGGCGGCGGCGCACACTTCAAAATCAATATTAACGAGAGAATATCGTTTGACTGACAGACGGTAATAATATAATATTCCATGTTATAACCGTACTCGTACTGTGTACGTATATTATGTTATAAATTTATGATAATAACGTTCTCGCTGACCACACCCGTTCGTCTACAGTGTGCGCCGTTCGCGTCTCGTCTATAGTCTCTGCGTTTCGAACGCGGCATAGAAAACGAATTTTTAATAACATCGTGAATCGTGATGTACAATTAATGTAGAATACTATTACGTCGGCATTGTTTGGTAATTAAAAATGTCATTAAGTATTGAAAAATAAAAAAACTGCATAAACTGTCATACGTGTACGAACGATTTCACGTAATGAAACATATCGACGAAGTGTAGCAGTACTGCGGTAGTATTGGTGCAGCGCACGACAGCGGTACCGCGTCCGGTAAAACTTTTTGCGTTTTAAAATAAATCGAGAAATTTAATTTTCTTCTAATTACGTATTAATTATTACAAAACATATGTTTACGATTCCGTGCGTCTCCATTACCACTGTGAATAAAATATAATTCTCGACGATAATCAGTATTATTATTATAAATTATTCTTACGAAATGTTGGTGTGTCGCCGATTGAAAAACAAACGATAGCCAACAAATGAATGACGACGGGGCTTATGGCCGGTGGTAATTCAATACACGATAATGTCGTGAACGCACAAAATATTACGTTAGTTTTAATTCTCTCTCGTTCGGCGGTAAAACTACCTACTAAACACGCTTGGTGTGCGAGTTCTTCCCAGAGTACATATAATATTGTAATAGATAGAGCGGTAGGGTCGTCACCGCCCGTGGCTATATTAATATTAAATTCAAATTTTTGTACAATAATAATATTATAGGTATTATATTATGCTTTTATTGCGCAACGATTATTTTTTACCGAGATTTTGCATTAGTGTGCGTGTATGAGCGAGAGAGACCGACCGATGACCTACAAGCGTTCCGAGAGGACTCGAAACAGGACTACCACGGACGATGAAAATCGCTGTGTCGTCCACATCGCGGTGTGTGTGGTGCAAGTTTTATTTTTACGACGTTAATAATAATACACCGAGTCGACGATAATGTACCGAAACCTCGACCGGGAGGTTTACTGGTCGTCGTATAGTATAGAGAACGAGAGAGGTAAATCACGCGATTATTGAACATTATATAATAATATTATTACCTACATATGTTATACGAAATACGAATATCGTCTACGGTAATTAACATTAAAAACCTCCGCTCATTGGTCTTGTGGGAGGGGGCATGGGGGTTTGGCGCGCGTCGTGTGTGTTAATTATAATAATAATAAAAGACTAGTAGGTATGGCCGCTGTCTATTCCTCGTCTTCCTCCTACTCGCCATATATACGATAGACACCGTGAAAACGAAAACGCACGTCCGGCGGCGGTCGGGTACCTGACAACGCGCCGTCCGTTGGGCTAGGTTAAGGCCTCTTCCTTTTCCCCCTGACCACCATTTCTCTATGATATTATTATTATAATCCATTCCGATAATCGACAACCGCTTGCGTTTGTGTGTGATATTGTGTGCAAGTCATCGCGGGCGGGTATACGTTTTTTTTTGTACTGTTATCCGTTTCGTTATCGCATTATTATTGTTATTATTTTTTTTTAACTACGACTGTCCAATGTTTATTGTAATATAATAGTAATAATAATAATAATAATATGTAATAATTTTGTACCGTTTTTTTTATGTCACGCAGGCAGTCTTCCATGAATGGCAATGGGATATTTTGCCGCCGTCTGGACTTCAGCACATTCAACCGGCTACCTCGGCACATGCTCAACTCCTATCACGTAAAGGTAACGTATACGCTTTTGACCGTAATTGACCGTGATTCAGCGAGATTCTTTTTATGTATTTATTAATAATTGAGCTCGCGGGGGAGTGCACCAAAATATTGTGTTTGTCCGCCGCCGCCCGTTCGTGTATTATCGTCGCCGTTGTTGATGTGTGTGTGTTTCCGTTGATGAACCGTTTCCGGTGCGCCGGTTTCTTTTCCTCCCGGCGACCGAAAACGCACATATATTATTACACCAAAGCACTTGACGGATCCGAGTCCCATCGACAAGTCTGCCACAAATAAAATATCAATCATCCTACGTGCAATAATAATTATTAATGAATACGATATTATACTGCAGTACTTGTTTTCTAGCCTGTCCGAGTCTCGTGAAACGAGTCCATAGTTTTTTCATTTGTATACCGTACAATGGTCGCATTTAAAAGCAAATCGAAATATTATTTGATTCGGTTCGTGGGTTTGTAGTTTTCCTATCATCGGCCAACTCTGTCCGACTGACTGGCTAGGCGAACAGAATATTAATATTTCAGTCGTATGAACAATGGCATAATAACAATAACAACAACAACAACACGCAAGTGCTTACTGTTCAGTGCTCACATCCATTTCCATTTCGTTGTATATTTTTTCCTAAACACACCACATCTTACCGCCGCCACCTACTCGACAACAAATTGATAAAAAATTTACCCAAGGTCGTGTGTATTTATAGAATAATTTATTTAAGTACACGTCGTAATCCTCTGCACAGGATGTATGTAAAGATTGTTTTGTTTTTGACATTTCCTGCCCTGCCGTCGTCCATTATACATCATTATGGTTTCGACAGCAGTTAAATGTCAGCATAAAAGGACTAGCAATTAGTTTTGATCCAATTACTTTTGGTATTTAAAAACAATACTTCATGCTAAATTATACGATATTTTTACAACATTAAATACATTGATAAAATATTTTTGCTTTGATTCTGGGATTTTTGTTACACTATGTACTCAGTTCCTATACATTATAATATGTTTATACATGCCCGATAATTATCTGTTTAAAATTAAATTACTTAGCTGACAATTTTGATTTCCGATTGTAATTTGTCTTCTTGGTACTGTTCAATGACTATAAAATAAATTAACTTTTCTTCAAGTCAATAAATATTTAATATAGTGAATTGAACGTCAGTTATTATATTACTCGTTATATTATGTACAGTTATTATGCAATATTATCGTACATTATTTTTTAGTGATTCATTGATACAAGTAGATAGGTGTGCCAATTAAATTATTATGTTTTGCGATAAGTGTTAATTTTATCTTTTAACGGAACTGGTTGTTATTTAATGCTTTTCGTATTATTTATCAAATGCTAATGATAACAGATTTTAGATTAAATTAAATTAATAAATATTAAGTACTTACACAATTTTTACTCTGAATAATTTTAAGTTTTGTATAAACCGAAATTCATTAAACCGCAATTAAACTGTATCTACAAACTTGCAATAGCATGCACAATATGTTGAAACATTTAATTATAATAAATAATAAAAAAAAATTTAAGTTAAAATAAATTTTTTTAATATTTCTGCTACATTTATAATTTTTTAATTATTGTCTACTCTCGAGAAATATATTTTTGCTTGGCTTAATAATAAATATTAAATGACCTTATGTAGATTTACTTTCCATTCGGTCGAGGACACGCGTATCTTATAAGTTGTCGTAATAAGAGTATTAAGAGTAGTTAATACTAACCAACTGCATTTTGAGATTATTGAGACACGAATATCAATTAATCGGGTTTCGACGAAACAATGGAATTCGTCTGTTAATACGTTATAATTTTTTATTCGTTATAAGTTTTAACTTATATCGTTTTTATTACATTTTTCTATGGCTTTTGAAATATTAAATTTTCGAGTTTAGTGTCCCGCAGCTATGACTCGTTAAGTACCTATGCTTTTAATTGGTCAACTTTATTGTTCTATTTAGACTGGTAGTTTTATTATTTAAACACTTCTCTAATTGGGTGACGCTAGTTTCGTGTTTTGGTCGGTGTTGGCGGCTGTCCCTGTAGTGTAGGTTAAATCGACAAAATTATCATAAAAAATTCTGAACTTGACTTTTCCTTTCGTTGTCTCAATCTCCGTCGCGTGCGCTTTGTTCTAGGTTTCCTACATCGAACCGATTTCGGTGAAAGTAGTCGGTTACACGAAATTGGTGAGACATTGTACATGCGATATTATCAAACACAATATTGGTAGCATAATGATTTATCATAATGACGGATATCTCGTATGCATTGTGTCAGTCTCATTGTGCGTTGGACTCCCGAGACAAAATTGGATTTCGAAAAAAATTATCGTTTTGATTGCATAAAATTGTAATAATACGAGTAGTTACGAGACTACAATATTATTATACGAGTATAATAATATTTTATTGATATGGTAAACAAAAATACACCGCAGACGCGAGTATACGCATCGAGGTAGCGTGTGCTTGTGTGTGCCAAACGAGAACACGACGAAGGTCAATAATAATAATATAAGCCTCTCCCATGGTGTTTGTGTATGTGTGTGTGTGTGTGTGTGTGAGTGCGTTTGTCTAAATTGACGACGACGATATGATAATAATATGATATTATTTTTACGTGTGTATCGTTTTGCCGACACGGCAGTGGCAATGTGTTTGGATATCGATTTGCCGCGCATAAAAATGCATCGAACTTATATTTTGTAACATGTGAATAAAACCGCGTTCACAGATCGATATTTTTTGTTTCGGTATGACACGAATATTATATATAATAAGCATACTCGTATTGTATTTTGTTTCGGTAAAATTGTGTTTTCTATGGTTGTGGCAAAACGCCCCCTCTCTCGTTTCGTGTATAGATTGCCCCGGAAAATCGGGCGTATTTTTACTCGGTTTTAAACAAAAAGTTAACCAAGTGCTCGAACACCGAATTTTTTTTTCGGGTTTTTACCGGTCCTCAAGCGTTTTTATTTTCGGCACTGGGCCGGGCGGCGCCGGCGTGTGTCGTTCCGCCGATCGAGTGTGCGCGTTCCGTTTTCGGCGGACGAACCGACGCCCAGTCGGGCGTGTTTAGGGTACCGCCCGCCGGCCCCCCCGCGGTCACCCGGAGTTGCGTGCTTGGCGCCCAAAGCTCTCGCGCCTGCCCGCCCGCCCGACCACGCCAACCACGAAAAGCGTTCGTCCCCCTCATCCGCACCCAAATACATCCTCGCTTGAACCACTCTGCCCCTCTTCAATTCCGATTAAGAATTTTTTGGAATTTGAATACAAACCCTTACCCCCCTCCCCCTTCTCAACCCACGGTTCTGTCTCCATATCAGTGGGGATCGGTCACTACCGGAGAATTTTTCATTAGAAATTTTGGATTTTTTCTTACTCCCCTTCATCCCCAGTCACCTTTTCACGCACACCCTCCCACCCACTCATGTCGGTGCGCTATCCCTCCGCCGCCGCCTCCACAACCGTCATTATACAACGTTGCATGCCGTCGCATCGCGCTATGTATACAACATTGCACGCCACCGCCGCGCCGCAATATGACCAAAATATTGATCGCCGGCCGGCCGGCTCTTTGGCCCGTCTCCCACGCCCCTTCCCCCCCCCCCCCACCGCTAGCCGCGTGCGCCCGACTGAAATGTGCATCGATGCCCCGTCGCCGGGACCCACGCACTTGTCTGCCGGTTGAGCGTTCCCGCCGCTGCTGCCACACTAGGATTGTGTGCTGCGCGAGTTCCCGTCGACCCGACCGGCGATCAATAGCGGGCGCGTCCCTCTACCCGGCGGCACCCGACGACGCGACCCGATTATGCAGGCGAAGCGTTTTGAAAATTTTTTTCGTGCCGAATTTCCGGACGCGCCCGCGCCGCCGCGTGAACGACGATGGATGATCGCCTCTCCGCGACCGAAGTAATAATAATTATTAATATTATTATAATCGCTGCGACACATTCGAAGACCTTGAACGATTCGCGATAACAAGTCCATATATTACATACCGTACCTATTATAATACGCGCATCGCGTAAATGTCGCATAGGTGTGGCTCGACAGACAGCGCTTTTGCCTAGTGACTGCGATAAAATGTAGAAATAATATTATTGTATTATATGCGTGCAAAAAAAAAAAAAACACTGCACGTCATTGAAAACTAGTTTCGGCAATGCAATTCGCACGCGTGTACAAGGAAGTCATCCGGTAATTTACGGATTTCACGCTTGTTGTGGTGTTTGATGATAACGATTTCGATCCGCCACATGCTTATAATATTATGGCACATCGACGACAACGCGCGCGAGACACGTTAATTATTATACTACACCTATAATACTCTCGTGTAATGTTTCACTGCCTTGTTTGTCGATCGTTGGGTGCGCAGACTCATTTTTCACATTTTGCACGAGAAATCATAAACGAAGAGATCCAACTATCAATAGACTTAAGTATTATATACATATGGTATACATGGTGCCCGGTATATTATCTCCTGGTTGATAAACCAAATTAGTAATGACAATATAAAGTTTGGTTTGGTAATGGTATCCAACGATGGACGTCACGGTTACAACGATTCACAAAGAAAAGCACTGTTTGAAATATTAAATTTCACGCATTAAGAAAATTAAAGAAATAGAGATAATTATTTTCAAGGTACTATCAAAAGCCCTTATGAACTATATTATCGTTAAATTGTCGATTAATCTCATGTTAGACTTACCAGATTTCATTAAATATGATTAGACTTAAAGTCCTTATATAAAGGGCAAAGGGATATCTTATGTGAGTTAATTTTTGAATTATAATTGAAAATTAGATTTTTATTACAGGAATTCAGCTTAAATATACCCGAGAATACACCCTAGACGCTGAACTATTATTAATTTTTTTTATTAATGTACCTGGAATTCCAAGCTATTTAAAAAGAAGGGTTAAGCAAACTAGTCGTATCGTTGAGCGAGAACGAGCT